CCAGCACCCTGTACTGTCCCCAGGTTGTCATCAAATTACAGGAGCACCGAGGACTGCGAGCTGTTTCCCTGGTGTCCCAAACTGTGGTCCCTCTGGGCTTTGCTACAGGGCCACCCTAGCTCTGCTCTGGGTGAGGCCACGTACTAACAAGGCCATAGTGGAGGCCTCGGGCCAGGGCTGGTGCTGCCAGGGACCTCCTGGCTGCAGGGCCACCGCTGGGAGGAGGCCGGGATCAGGCGGCTGTGGTTCTGCTGGCAGTGGCCGCAGCAGGACACCCGTTGACTGGTCTCCCGGCACTCTGCCCAGCTCGCTGGCTTCCCTGATCGTGTGGAGACCTGGATCAGGGCAGACTCCCCAGTCGTGCCCAGCCCTGCGCCTGTATAGCACAGCCTGGATTGGGAACCAGAGCTCTGCATGGCTCCGGCTGGGCACCATGGTGGTGCCCAAGAACAGCAGGGTCTCCCTCCTTCCATGAACCATGCTCCCCTACTGCCCTCTCAGATTGAAGCTTTTATCCTGCTGACCATATTTTTATCAGGGGTACTGTTTACGCAGATCATGGGGTTCACTTCGGTGTAGTGGGTGCACACGACATTTAATCATTTCCATTCCCCCTTTGCCCCAAGCTCACCCCAGCTTCACACTTTGGGAGTTGCATCCTGTGTGATGTATTCTGATCAGATTTTGACCAGGGGAAAGAAACTGGGCAGAGGCCACCCCGCGGAGAGCAGGGCGGCACAGGGGTGGCACAGGGGAGAAGAAAGCAGGCTAGGGGACAGGTGGATGGGCAAGGCTGTCCAGGAGAGGGGGAGGTCAGGTCCAGGGCTAGGGCTCCCACCTTTGCCCCTGCCTCGTCCCAACCTAGGGTCAGACTGACCATAAAGGCTGGGCCCCCCTCTTCTGAGACAGGCCCGCATCCCTAGAGGGGAGTCAGAGCTCAGTGTGGCACCTGCCAGGTAGCTGACACAACATGGGCATGGATGGGTGGTCCAGAAGTTACCCTGGGGAGGCTTCAGAAGGCAGGGCCCATCGAGGACCAGGACCAGGACCAGGACCAGGACCAGGACCAGGACCAGGACCAGGAGGCCCAGCACACTTGAATAACCCTGGTAAAGAATCTGGCACCAAAGCTGGGCCACCCACGGGGTCACACAGAGCCGATCCTGGACCTCCACTGCCATGTGGGCCCCATGGGTCCCCCCATCCCGGCATGAAGAAGTGAGGAGAGGCCCTGGTAAGCAGGCAAGGTCCCCAGAGGGAGTGGGCACCGTGACCAAGGACCTTACACTGGCATCTCCACCGAGCCCATGGCAGGGACCTCAGGAGAACTGAATTGCGCTTCAGCACAGCCCAAGGGGCTGTGTGTGGGGGCGTCTGTCCCCCCAATGAAGTCATCAGGTGCTTGCTTCGGGCCGTGGCAGGCTCAGTGCCCCGCTGAACACGGCAGGAAGGGGCTGTGCCCTGCACAGCATGTGTGCCCTGCACCAGGAGCATCTGTTGAGGTGGCTCAGCTCCCTGCTGACCCCATACCCAGGCTCGGCACTGTCCCGTAACTGTCTACGCCCCCAGGCCAGTCCAGAATGGCCTCTGAAGTGTCCAGCAAGGGAACAGGCAGAGGAGGGGATGGATGGACGAGCTCCAAGGGGCCCGGAATGCAGCCTTCTGCTTCCCAGAGAGCCCCGGAACAAAAGGCTGGGTTCTGCTTTCATGGGCCAGGCGGGACTCTGGGGCAGGGGCAGCCCCTGCCCGGTCAGGACCAGGCGCAGGTGAGGAGGGGCCTGAGTCACCCCCTCTGCCCCCCCACTGCATGTCCTCTGCAGTCCTGTCTTGGGCAGCACCATTTCTGTCGTGGGCACTGCCGGGCGCTGTGGATGCTCAGCTGTCACCTCCTCGCTGGCGCCTGAGCGAGTCGAGCTGTCACTGAGGAGTGACGGCGCCTGGCCCTCTTGTCCACTGGGACTCTCGCTCCAGCTTTGACAACCGTCAGCTCCCTCTGGGAGCCAAGGACAGGCGGCTCCTGGGCTCCCTGCACCCCATGCTGTCAGCAGGCGTCACCAAGGAGGGCAGGCAAGACGCAGCGCGGGGGTGGGGGCGTGGCAGGTTGGGGGGAGAAGAGCGGGTGTGCCAGCCGAGGGGGTGCCTGTACCTCCTTCTTGGTGCTCAGCACCCTGGCCTCTGCCACTCCAACCAGAGGGCGAGCTCTGCTCAGGACCACTGCCCTGCATGGCACCGCCTGCCGTCGACTACGCCCGACCCGAGGTGGCGGCTCTGTCCTGTGCTGAGTGACATGCGTGGCAGGGAGGGCGAGATGACAGAAAACAGGCAAGTGCCCTGGAGGGAGAAGCCGGGGAAAACCCAAGAAAGTCACAGTGACAGACAGCACGAAGTCTGCTGTGGGGCGGGGAAGGGTACAATCTGGGAGGTTGAGGCTGCAGGGAGCCAGAGGGGCTGAGACAAAGACATGCCTGTCCTGCCCTCGATCCAGGCTCTTTCAGCCTGCATGTAGGGGAGGCCTGGCACTGGGTGGCCAGAATGGCTTCCTGCTCCACATTAATGCCACCTGCCATGTCCTGGTCACTTTACTCAAACACTCCAAGCCCCCATGACCCTCCCAGGGTTGCTGGTCGACAGAGAGGGGATGCAGGGTTTCCCATGTAGAAGGCCCGGGTCCAGTCTCTTGGTGTGGACACCAAACTGCCCTCATCCCCTCCACTCCCTACAGCCCGAGCTCTGGCCAGCCCCTGTGTGAACCACACGGGGCCCTGTGCTGGGGCAGGGATAAAGGTCTCTGAACCCGGCTGCCCTAGTCACCTTCCCTGGTGGGGTCAACAGGCCAGCTACTGGGGTGACTCCTCATCTTCATCCTGTCCCACAGCGCCCCTGCTCTGGGCAGCTTGAGTGGGGTCCGAGTCCTGGTCACCTCTATACCCAAATGTGCAGACAAGGCCTCGTGTGGACTAGGGACTGAAGGACAGCTCATGACCTCAAAAGGCCTCTTCCAGTCCCCGCAGGTGGCAGGAGCTGTCCCCTCTCTGTGGGACACAGCACTTGGGGCAGTGTTCCCCTCTCTCCTAGTCTGGAAGGAGGACTCCAGCCTCGCCCTGCAGCTGTGCCCTCGTTTACCTGTGCTGCGTGGGTTCGTAATTCCAGTTAGTTGCCCATGTTGAAAAATAATTCGATTTCCTATGAAAATTGGATTTCCAGCTTTTTGCTGTTGCTGTCCTTTCAAGACAGGGCAGCAACAGGCCTGCTTATCCCTGCGTGACCACAGGCCAGCGGGACTCAGAAGGACATGGCAGGGGGCTCTCCTGGCCCCTGGTGGCCACCACTGCCTACAGCCACCCTGGCCCCTGCCTGCCTGGCCCCGCCTCGGGGGCAGAGCGAGCAAAAGCTCACACATGGCAGGCCCTCAGGCTGGGCCTCCCCGGGGCACCTGAGCCAGCTCTACACCTGCAGGACAAGCGTGAGGAACTGAAATGATACTGCTTGGCACCCGAAGATCCCAACGGAGTGTGCTCCCTGTCTGGAAAGCCTGCCTGCGCCCCCTACTCCCAAACTTAAGGGCACCAACTTTTAGCAGCCAGCGCCAGAGATGTTTTTCTCTTTCCAAGAAAACAGAGCAACAGACATGTGAACCAGCCTGGGGCCTGGCGCCTCCCGCCTGGCTGGCCAGTTCCACGATCCAGATCCCTCTCCCCGCAGCCACCAGAAACATTCCTGCCCTGCCCTGCCCCTCCCCCAACCACGCGGCCACAGCATTCTTGAAAGTTGGTAAGAAATTGAGCCCATATGCTTTCCGATTGTTTGCAAACCCTGGCAAGGCTCTGGTAAGTCAAGGCCAATTTCTGGATTAAATTAGAAAAGAAAAGATGAAAAATATCTGAGTTCTGGCAGAGAGAGAGATCATTCATTCAAGAGAAACTGTTTAAGAACACACTGTACGGAGACGTCCTCACGCGGGGAGAAGGAAAGGTCAGGCCCGCAGAGCCATGTTATCTGTCGACTGAAGGGGTGTCAGTCCTCGGCAGAAGACGTACTTTGAGGGGGCAAGTGGCCAGGAATTCTTCCTGAACAGACTGTTAACACAGCTGGAAGAGAATGCTCTGCCTGCCCAGAAATCTGCCCCTCCTGCCCAGCTGTCATTAAATGATTGTTAAGGTCTGTTAATTTCATCCTTTAGAAAGAACCCCCAAGAGACTTCAATGGCTCCTCTAAGCTGTCAAGTGGGGCGCAGTGGGGAGGACTAGGGTGTGAGCAGGAAAGAGGCAGAGCTCGACTCAAAAGAGGTCACTGATGCCTTCAGAAGCGGCTGGTCCACCTGCAGGTATGGAAGCGGGCAGGAGGCCGCTTATCTACAGGGACGGACTTACCCTCTTGACAAGGACTGTTGGGCCTGCCTGGAAGATCAGAGTGTGTGGGAGGAGGTAGAGTCTCCAGTTTAAAAATGAGGAAACCAAGTTCAGGACAGGGGCGCTCTGCCAGGTAGGTAAGAGCCAGGATGAGACCCATGCTGGGGCCATTCCTGTGAATACCTAGAACTGTGCACTAAATAAAGTAACCAGCCTCAGGTATGTCATTACAGTAACAGAATACAGACTAATACAGCCCCCAGCTTCCTGTGAGAAGCGGGTCGGAGATGAAAGGGGCAGCCCCGCAGAGTCTCATTTTCCTGGGAAGAGGGGGACCACATATTTGCCTTTGATGAGAAAGGAAGCAGTGCGTGCAGTGGGTTCTCACTGCCCTCAGAGCCACATCCAGGCCCTCTCCACGTCTATGAGGTAGGTGACCTGGTCCACCTGATCCTGGACCCACAGGGCCCTGTCCCTCCCAGAGGCCCCGCCCATCTGATGCCCCGCCCACCAAAACAATCGGCCCTGCCTCCAACGCCCCGCCCATACAACAGCTCGCCTATCACGAGCCCACGCCCACCCAGCAACCCGCCCCATCTGCGAGGCCCCGCCCACCCGGTGCCCCACCAATGAGCCCCCAGCCCTACTCACGATGTTCATGAGCGTCAGCAGGTACTTCTGCACGTGCTCCGTCCCGTGGAACTGGACCACAGAGTCGTCCACACCCAGCAGCACCTCGATGTTGTAGTCATCATCCGCAGTGTGCCTGCGTGTCCGCCGGCGGGAGTTGTTCACGCGCTCCTCCAGGACGCCCAAGGCCCGGCTGAGGCTGTCCAGGCTGTCCGCAGGGGCCCCTGGGGAAGAGGACCAGGTCAGCAGCAGCAGAGCCCTGGGTTGCAGCGCTGCTCTGCAAGAGCCCGCCAGTTGCAACCTAACGCCAGGAGGCGCAGCACTGCCTGCCTGGCGGCCCTAACTAAGGACTCCAAACCCACGTGTGTAGGGGTGGGTGGCAGGGTCTACATGGTGGGCGAGAGTGGAAACAGGGCAACTGCTGTGGAAACCAGCGCAGAGACCTTGGAAAACTCAGCCTAAGAATCCCACTGGACCAGCCGTTCCTCTCCCGGGTGTTTTCCCGAAAGAGCCCAAGTCTTCATGTCCTAGGGATCACGCACACCCCCAGCTCCGGCAGTGCGGTGTTCGCGGAGACGGCCCAGGTGCCCCTCTGCAGATGGATGCACAGCGTGAACTGTATACACACATCCTGGGTACCAGCAGCCCCAAAAAAGGAAAACTCCTGTAACTCGTCAGAAAATAGATGGGTCTTGAGAGCATCACGTTATGAGAAATAAATCAGACATAGAAGGTTAAATATCCCATGGTTTTTCTCATATGAGATATTCAAGATGTAAATAATTTAAAGAGTGAGGTAGAGGAGCTCTCCTAGGAGACAGGGTGTGGACCTTCTGGAGCCGGGAAGGGCTCCCAGGAGAGGGAGAGCAGCGGAGAGCGAGGAAGGGGTCAGAAACCAGCGGGACCTGTGTGTGTGCAGTGTCCATACCCCTCACAGAGATGAATGCAGACACTGAGAACACTCAAGACGCCCTGGACCTGGACAGTGCTGGACCTGTCACAGGACAGGGCTCCAGAGCGGGCAAGGGGCCGTACTGCCCGCTCAGACTCCACAGGAAACAAACCAACACCTCTGGTATCCACTCTGTACCTGGCAGGACCCCTTGTGCTGCAGAACCTGCCAGACTCTGCCCAGCACAAGGAAGTCAGGCCAGCCCAGCACTGGTAAGGCCAGGAGTCCTGCAGCTTACTGCTCTGTCCCCCTGGAAAAAGGGGCCCTCCCCAGGCACTGTGAGCCTCTGCATGGCCTCAGGGCTGCCCTGCCCATCACCTCACTCAGTCCTGCACAGAAAGGTCAAAGTTTGCGTCACTGGTCTGGCACCTCAGGGGCCTGCTGCCTCCCCTGACCCGGTGAGCTGTGCCCACCCCACCCCTGCTGAAGCATTGTGCAGGGCCCAACATGATCACTTCAGGCCGACTCCCCAAGTTTGCTCTGGGACCCACCTGCTGCCGGGATAGCACCTGACCAGGGCAGCAATCGTCCTGGGGAGTGGGCCCTGAAGGACCCCAGCTGGGCAGCCCTGGACCTAGGGTTCCATGCCACCACCCAGTATGGCGTCACCACTGTCTGCACAGCAGAGGCTTCCGGAGCTCACCTTGGCCCTCCCTGCCGCCACCCGCAGTCACAGCCAAGTGGGCCAGGCTGACCCGCAGCATGGGCATCTACTCCAACCACACTGCCTGCTGCCCACCAAGCCCCCACCCCACCTGCTGCACAGGACTCCATGCTGCAAGGTCATGGTTCTCTATGGCATTCGCCGGCAGGTCTGTCTCCTGCCCAGGGAGGGCCACAGGACCACAGATCACCTGAGATTGCTCCACCCAACAGAGGGTGGCACTTGGACCCTGCAGCCTGTGCCCTGGGACAAAGAAGTGCTGCCCCGCAGTTGATGTTTGGGCGTCACCACCCGTGTCCAGTTTTCCATGCCCTTTTCACCATCCCTGTGGCCCTCGCCTGCTGCCTCCCCAGGTGAGACAGACTCCCTCTGGGTCGCTGTGGCACAGGGCAGCCCTACAGGGAAGCCAGACCTCAGACAGGAGCTGGAAGACCGCCAGCCTGGGGCCTGCTCAGTATCACCCTAGCGCCTCTCATCCAAGCCACACAGACGGGTGTCTCCAGGATGATGCCCCACCCTACAGAGGAGCAGACAGTGGACCCAGCGTGCAGACTCTGCCCAAAGCCCTCTCCTTGCACAGCTGTCTGCTTCTGACACGGAAAACTGACTGTGGGCGCGAATGAGGGAGAGGTGAGATGCAGAGGGTGAGGCCTTGGCCCGAAGTGGGGAGCACACTGGGGCCAGGCCAAGCAGCTGTTCTGGTCACTGTGCCTGCTGGGATCCTCAGGCCTGGAACTCCCCCCTCCAGCACACAGGCGTGCACACCGTGCAGGCAATGCATGCACACACGTGCATGCATGTGGCAGGCGTCCGAAGCTGCTCTGCAAACAGCTAGCCGGCGGGCAGTGGCCGGCAGGGCCGAGTGCTCTCTGCTCGGCTGCCTGCCATGATTCAAGGCCTCCCTGCTGCTCCCAGAGGAGGCGCCGGGGACTTGGAGCCCACAGAGGAGTTGAGGAATTGCTACTCTATTTTTATACATTTATTTCTTTGCATTGCCAATGAGCAGGGACAGCTCACCTTCAGAACCACCTTGGGAAACAGAAAGAGGTGATTTCCATAGAAAACTCCTCCCCTGGGGAAGAGGCCGGACTACAGTCCCTTCTGCCTCTGTCAAGTGCAGGGTCGCACATGGGCAGCTCCCATGGGATGCATGCAGACTGCAGAGGGCTTGCTAGGGCACACGGCATTATTTGGTGGACAGGACATGATAATTGGTACATTTCCTGTTAAAAACCATCTAGAGCCTCCTGTTGTTCTTGAGGATCCAGGAGAGACCACCTCAAGGGCAACCTAGAGCCCTGACTCAGGGCCACACTGGAAGCAGGACACAGGGCCCAGGTCACCAGGCCGCAGCATGGTGCCCTTGATGCCCTCCTGCCCGCCTCCCCCCCAACCATGCAGATACCTTCCGGACAGGCCCCTTGGGGGATATGGGCCCACTGCAGGCCAAGGCAGGTCCAGGGCAGGTCTAGGTGCCCTGCCCTGCAGGTGGCTTTAATGGAAGTGAACGTTACAGGTCCACACAAGACAGCAAAGTTTCCACAGATGCTTCAGAAACGTCAACTTCAAATCCAGCATAATTATTATTACTGCTGTCTTTATTCTTGTCATGATCATCTGGGGGCTTGTTTGGACATCATGTTCTAGAACACAGCCAGCCCTGGCTCCTGCAGAGAAGCCTCAAAATCCAAAGGCAAAACAGGTGAAGACAGGAAGGGCTCCCCGGGGGTCCACTGGCAGGGGACAGTCCCCTGAGCCATTTGGTTCCCACGAGTCTCAGCCTTGCTCAGGACATGGGGAGCAGCCTCAAAGTTGGGGGGTTCAGCTGGGTCCCCAGGCCTGGGGCCTCACAAACCTTGGTTCAGCTGTCTTCCTGCCCGTCCCTGTCTCATTAGGACTGGCAGCCAGGTAGAGGCATCACCTTATCAGGCATGGGAGTCACAGTGGGCTTGATCCGAAGCCCAAGCCAGCCCTGGTCCCGGCAGACCCATGTGCCAAAGGCATCTCTGGTGCAGGGCGCTCCTGTTTGGTCCGGGCTCAGCCTCCCAGTGGTCCAGTTGACGTCAGCCGTGGCCTCTGGAACCTGTCCATGCATGCCTCCCACTGCCCATGGGGGGCTAGTGGGTGGCAGAGAGAGAGCCACGACCCTAGCAACCACACCCTGGTACACTGAGCCTGTCCTAAGGGAAGGGGTCTGTCACGGGAACCTTTTCTAAATGGGTGGCCAGAGAGGTGCTTAGCTCCAGGTCCTCCCTGTGCTCAAGGACTGTCCTGGACAGCAGTTTGGAGTTGTCTCTTCGCAGGTATTGGGCAAAGGATGATACAGCAGGAAGTCTAAGACCAACTCCAGACTGAGTCTCCAGATGGAGAGAAAGGCGCTGTCCAAGAGGTGACCTTCCTTCCTGCCCATGCCCTGCCACCAGGATGCCACTGGCCATGTCCACATCATGACACAGCCAGGGGCTCCCTGCCCAGATGGACTGTTCCAGCCTCCACGATGGTGAGTGAAATGACTCTGTTCTTTATGCATCGTTTGGCCTCGGACACTTCGTTACAGCAACGCAAAACGTACTAAGCCGAGTGACAAAGAATTGGAGGAGCAGAAGATGAAGTGATGCTGTCAAAGCACGCTGCCAGCGAGGAGGGGCCAGGGCCCGAGGCCACGCCAGGACACACAGTTTTCTTCTCTCCCAGAGAGTAATGATGCTTACTTGGGAACAGCGGGACACTGCAGTGAGACTCTCCATGCCACAGTGTTGTTCAACGTGGCCCGGCACTGGTTCAGGGAGAGCAGAAAATGGTGGAAACAAGCACGCTTAGCTGGAGAAGCCAGGGCCAGGGCTCTTCGACTCAGAAGAGCTGCCCACGGAGCCGCCGCCCATTGTGTCAAAGGCCCCTGGGTGTTTTCACGCCTTTGCTGCTGGTGTTGCTGCATCTGCCCGGTCAGCCTCGCAGGAGGCTCCCAGGATCCCCAAAGACCAGAAGGAAAACAGCCCACGTCCCCCAGTGCAGGACACTCACTGCCTCCCTCCTGCACTGGCTCATAACTGCCGTGGGTCAGGGATCCTCGCTGCATTGTGATCTTACGCAGCCCCAGAGGTCTGGCCTGCAGCCCTCAGCACCGCTGGGAAGCAGGAGTCCTAGGAAGTGTGGCCTGGTGGGGGGAATGGGCGCTTGGGGCAAGGCCTTGCAGAGCTGTGGGGATCCTGCCCCCCTCTGCTCTCTCCCCAGGGAAGGCTCCTCATCTCTCTCTGCTTCCCACGCCTTCTCTACCACGGGCTCCCACCACGGTGTACTGGGCTTTGTGGGCTGAAAGCGACACAGCCACGTGGCCATGGACTGAAAGCTTGGCCGCTGGAAACCCAAATAACCCTTCTTGCTTCTGAGTTATCCCAGGCTTTCGGGATGAGATGGCGGGTCGGTCACCACGGGCCTCCGCTGCAGCTCTCACCAAACACCCTGAGGATGACGGGGGTGGGCTGGGGTGCCTGGGCCCGGAGAAGCTCTCTGCTGTCCCCTTTCAATGGGGCAACTTCCCACATTTCTTTCACCTTCAGGCCCCAGCTGAAAGATCTCCTCCTCTGTTTATCCTACACTGAAAGAGCCCC